CTACTACAAGAATGAGAGCGATCTGGATAATACAGAAACACAATCAACTGGGAGAGTCAAAGCAGCGGCAGAGCAGGGTGGTGCTACAGTCTGGAGCACGCTGCAGACACACAGTTCAGAGCCAGAGGAGCAAGCAAGCCCAATAAGGCCCCTGTAATGAGAACAATGCCTGTGCCAACGTGCAGCAAGCCCAACGGCTGCAGCTAATTCGGAGTAATGGGCAACAGCTCCTTCAACACTTGCAGGACCCAAGCACAAAAGGCAGAGCAGCCAGATGAGGTAATTCAGGTCTTGGTCACCCCAGCTGTCCTGTGCTGTGGAGCTCATCTAATCCTCTGGGATGTGGACAGTGTCCACGGAGAAGCTTCCTAAGCACCTGGTGGGACAGACAGGGCTCCCAGAGGGCCCTCAAATAGAGTCCAAACAAGAATGGCCAAGCGCAAAGGCCCAGCAAAGAAACCAGGTTTAACCCAAGCACTGGGTGGCTCAAGAGCCACCACAGGAAACACCACAGGAGGTCACGGCAACGAGGAGAAAACTAAGCCTGTGAGATGGGATGTGGGGAAGGGATGGCACGACGGGGGAAAAGGTCCCAGGAGCACCAGGGAAACCAAAGCCCTTGGTGAACCAGAGCCAGACCATGATGCTGCTCGGAGCAGGCGTAGTAGGAACAGGACATACAGCCCAGAGCCAAGACTTATTCCACACGAAAGGACTTTTCCCAGCTGCTTAATAAAGATGGGAGAACAAAATAATAAAGGCCTGTTGTGAGAGAGGGCATGGAGCAAAATGCAGGAGCATCTCACTAAGGAAAGCACCAGGGCAGGACCTCCCTACACAGCCATTTCATCCATCCACCTGCCATCCCTGGGCCCCCACAGAGCACAAGCTGCTGAGGAACACCCAAAGCAATTAAAAAAGCCAGCGGGTAAAGAGGTTTGTGGGCACCAGGGACAAGGTTCAGTCCATCAATAAACACCCAGTCAGTGGCAGTGCCCACAGGAAGCAAGGTGGGACCTTCCCCAGGACAGGACGAGGCTCTGCGAGCAGTTTGATCCCACCACAAGGCAGGGGGGCCTTTACAGGGCACATCAGCGGGGCAATGGCTATGGTCCCCGGGGTAAGACGAACATTTTGGAAACGTTCAGTACCAGGTACGGCCTCAGGCTTGGAGGATGGAGACGAGTGAAGAGGAGAAGGGAAGGTGCAGAATTCCAAGGGCACCAGGAGGGTGCACAGAGATTCGCGTCATCGGCACAGGCTTATGTCACAGGCGTCTTACAGCACAAACTTAGGACATCCAGCAAGAAAATTTAAGCCATTCTCCGCCTCTAAGGAAACTCACTGTGACCCGCCGAAGCTCCTATTTCTGTTTCAAGCGCCCAAGGAGCCTTTCATCCCGGCGCAGGCCACGGCACGCTGAGTCACTGGCACTGCTGCCCCGGCGCTTGAGCATGGCTAAAAAAACCCCACAGGGCAGGAGCTCAGGGAGACCCGTTCTCCACCAGGGCCAGGCTCCGATCCAGGGAGCTTCAGTCCCGCCGGAGCACCCAGGGCTCCAGCTGCTCCGCGCAGGCACGCAGTCGGCTCCATCCAAGCTTGGCTTTCGCCTCTGGCTAGTCTGAAGGAAGCCGTTCACATCTGGCGCTGCTGGAGACACAGCCTGGGAGAGCTCATCCATGCCCAGGCAATGCCTGGGCTCTGCTCGGGGGCTGGCAGCAGGGGACACAGCACAAGTGCTGGTTCCTGAGGAGGGGCAGCCTTCCCACGCTGCAGGGAGTGCATTAGCAGGGCTGTTTTCCCCCAAAACACGGATCAAAAAGCTTGCCGGACCATTGCTTCTTCCTGAAGGGAGGACAGAAACCCCTGGAGCAGCAGAAAACTGACCCAAAGAGATGCCTCTCCAGATACAAAAGCCACCCATGTGCCACTGCGCTGCCATGGTCACTGCCCGGATCCTGCCCTCAGCCCTGCAAGAGCAGGGAACAGCGCGGAGCGCCGGGCACGGCCACACACCCCAGCGGCCCTCCGAGGGGATGGGGACGGACGGAGGCAGCGTTCCCAGGACGGAGGCAGCGTTCCCAGGACGGAGGCAGCGTCCACGCAGGAGAGCTCGGCCAGTCCCATCCACCCCCGCCTCCAGCTCGAGGGCTCCCGCGCTGCCTCCCGCGGCTCCGTTCGGCTCCGCCGGGAGCGGCCCTGCAGCGAGCTGCCCGTTCTCAAACACACGGGTGGGACAAGCATCTCTCTAGTGTGTGCTGACCTACTCACTAATGAACCCAGTCACTAGGGGCTAAAGGGTGTTTTATGAAACTAGCAGGAACAGCAAACACAGAAGTTTGCTCCTAGAGAAGCCAGCCACCCTGGCTTGGTTTTCATCACGCACACCAGGCAGGCAAACACCACAGGGTCAAAAAATGCCATTATCCTGGGTACCTCAAGGTGAAGGATCCAACCTGAGCTTCTTCTGTTTGTCTGCAGGAGGAAGAGATGCTGGCAACGCTTCCGCGGCCCCGTCCTGCCTGTCTGCAGCAATCGCACCGCAGGGCCGAACCCTGGCTCCAGCGGGTGACCCGCGCTCGGCGTGCCGGGCCATGAGCGCTTCCCGAAGGATGGGGAACGGGAAGCAGGGGCTGGGGGGTCGCCTGTCATTAAACCGCTCCGACGGGGACAGCTCGGCCATGTGGCGACAGCGGGGCTCCATCCACCGCCGAACGCGAGCTCCCCACCTTGGCTCCGCGCGCCCAGGCTGCCCTAGCAGCCTCCTCGTCTCCTTGTGCGCTCAGCTAAGCACCGCATGGACCATTTCTTTTTCTTTTTCCTCTTTTTTTTTCCTCTCTCTCTTTAAACCACTATGCAGAATTACATAAATGCTCCAAATCCCAGCGAAAAGGGCCCCCTTCTTGCAGGGAGGAGGCACCTGGGTCACACTGTGGCAGTGGGGACACTGTCCTTTCATGCCGACCTAGTGCAGGCGCACGTTCCCTGGTAGAAGCTGCTTCAGAAGACTATTCCTTTTCTTCTCTCCTATATAATGCTGGCAAACACCAGAGCTCAGGGAGACCTCGCTCAAATCTGCAGCCTCGAAGGTCGTCCACCAACAACCAGAAGGAAATCTCATCCGTGGGCCGGCCCGCCCGCCCCGGAGCTGGGCAATGCAGGCAGCGGGATGCCGCGTTCATCCCTGGCAGGTCTGAGCGGAGAAAGGGCTCCAGGCTGTGCCTAAGCTCCAAGCCCAGCCGGGATCTCCAGCTCACACCAAGTTCAAGCCCCGTGGGCAGAAGGGAGCGACATGCAG